CAACCTGACAGCGGCTGAAAGGGTATGCTTGGGAGCAGTACAAAAGTGCAGCATGTGCAGGTAGTCTTTCCAGTAGCAAGATCTTTCAGTTTCTAGTAGTTGGTGGTTTAAGGATTTCCTGAATCTAATTTGAATAGTTGAATAATGAAAGAAGAAAATAAGACTTAAATCTTTTTTTTTTAATTTCTCATAGTGAAATCAAGTGAAATTATGTTTTGTTGTATTGTAAAAAGTGGTTGATTGAAGAGTGTAACTACAGGAAGATAATTCTGTTGAGCAAGGAAAGCTGATTGGCTGCTTTGTTTCATTTTCACTTAGGTATTTGTTTAGCAGTAACTGCCATCAAGTAAAATTGGAGAATATTAGTACAGTAACACCAAGAAATATGTGCAAATCAGTACCTTTGATTCGAAAAGCTTGATGCAAACAGATATGAAAAATATAACTCTTCTTGTCTTTAAATCAAATCAGACTTCAATGTTATTCTGGTGCTTGAGTTGGTATAGTCATATGTACCTTTGCATTCATTCTCATTGTGAGCAAATATAGGAAACTTGCATTTTTGTTCTGGAGTGAAGTTTTCCTTGTTATCTGAAAAGGATTTCAGTTTTCTTCAACCAACAATCATGGCTGTGGTGGCAGATGCTGAAAAGTATTAGGCAGACATCATTACTCCTCAATATATTGCTGAACATCTTCAGAAATTACACAGAATAATCTTTACTTGAGTTTTTTTCTTTTTTTTACTTTCCTTTTTCTTTCTTTTTCACTTTTCTATCCCTCCCTTTCTTCCTTCCTCTCCCCTTTTCTATTTTAAAAGTAAAGTCAGAAATAATATGGATTCAAGCAAGAATTGAACTAGTAATATAAATAGTGAACTTAACATTTAATTATTGTAAGAGTGCACTTGAATAGTGCACCAAGCATATTTTTGCATTGAATAAAAAATCACACAAAAATGATAATTTGAGTACCCATTGTCTGGAAAGCATAAAGTAATTCAGGCCGTTTATTTAGAAGATTAGGGGAATGAAAGCCTAAAACAAATTAAAATAATAATAGTACATTAGAATCTTATCTACAGGAAGATGGAAGTATGTTTTAAGACTAGAGAATTCCCCTCTAGTTCTGTTTTAAACTATTTTATATTAGTTTTCTTCTTTTTGTGGGAACGACAATTAAACCGATATTCACAGGCTTAAGTGCATTAAATGATTAACCAAAAGGCCAAGATCTTCCCCCAGATAACCTTTTAAACTGTAATAACTTTTAAACTAAATATGATACTTCTGAAACCTGTAATTTAATGAAAGAAGGAAGTCGTCTTTTTCCAAAGCCTGTTTAATGAGATGGGGAATTACATATGAAGAGAACCTATTGGTCAGTGGTTCTGGGAATGAGGATAGTCTTATTTTTATTTTGTAGTGCATCTTCCTATTTTCTTTATTTTACTATTTAATCTTACTTCATAACAGCTGTAGCAGACTTCACGAAGTTACCTCCTGGAAGATTATTGTATTTGTCAAGCAGTTAAGGTCATACTCATCCTATTTCACTTTTATGTCTTAGAGCACCATTTCTGCTCTTACACTTACGCTCCAGAGTGCATTGCCTGGCTGGTCTTTTTGAATATATTTAACTAGGTTATAATGTGATTTTACTGAAGTTAGAGTTTGCCCAGAGTCTTTCTATGCTCAAATTGCTGAACTCTAGCAGTCGATCAGGTGAGTGGCTCTCTGCCACCTGCAAAAGTCATGCAGGAAAACAAAAGCTCTTCTTAACAAAGGAGGATCTATCATTAGTTTTTGTTTATGTTATGTTATGTTTATGAGACCATGGCACTTAAACTTGTTATGCAAATTAACTTCCTACTGCTGAAAACTAAATAGGAAAAAATATGATAAGCAACAAATATTAATGAACAAATTAATTTCTGTGCCTCAGTTCCCTTTCTGTGAAATAAGAACTCTACATAAACCTGCCAGAAGTGTTTTGCAAATTAATGTAGTTGTGAAGCACTCGGGCACTACAATACTAACCAGGTACAAAAGCAGAAGCTGAGAGGGAAACTGATAATACTGTCATCAAAACGAGATTTTAACAGAGTGCGATAAATGAGGAGCAAAGCAAATAGCAATGAGGGGGAAGCAACATAACAAATAGCTGCCTATTAAGGTTTAAGGGAGTAATGGCACACTTCTGTTGAATTTATTGGGATTCAGGTGGTAAAATATTGTGTATAATATAATAATTGACTATATTATACAGATAAACACCAGAGGAAACAAACTGAAATTTCCTTCATTTTGGCATTTCCAGACTTTTGAGTTTCTTGTATTTCTGAAGAATAATTTTTTGCAAGTTTTACCATTAATAATACTTTGTGCCTGAGAGTCACAACCATTCCACAGAAGCAGATGTAATCATGTACTGATTTTGCCTTCTCAGTTAGAAAATGTGCTATTATATAAATCAATGAATCAGTATCTAATTCCTGTTGAATATTTATTCACTGCCAAAAACATAGCCTGTTTGTTGTCTTTCCTCAGATTATTCTACCCTATTGTTATATATTCTATTATTATATATGGAAAAATAGGACTGTTGAAACTTAGAATTAAGGGTTATTCCTAAATATTACACATGTTTTTACAGTTTCCTTATCTTATTTTCTTCTCAGAAAAAGGCACCACTCTCCATTTCCCATTTGTACTTATGAAACGTTAGACATTTGTAAGCTTTGTAGATGAAATGATTTTATATGGAGATCTCATTGCATTTTGAAACATTTTTAAGAATTCAAGATGTAACATCTCTTCTTTAAGGAAGCATTATTTGATAATTCAACTATCATAGTTTGAATGCACAGAGCATTATGCTAATGAAGAGGCAGTTCTGGGCTTTATGTAATGCATTTTGAATTTTCATAAAGACTATATGCTAAATTTCTCTTGATGCCATATTACTTAAACAAGCTATATTCTGTAGTATAGATAGTCTGAGCAATTGCTTTTATTATTACATATTTTCTCTGTTTTGGAAAGGACTTATATTTATTTTCTTACTCTGGTAGTTTCTGGTTGTGTAGTCATAGACACATAATTGATGTGTGAAAGCCTGATTCTCTAAATTATGTTCTTTGCTTCTATTACTATCTATTATACTTTTGAAAACTATCTCTCATTATACCCTGGCTGTGCTTGGAAATGATATCAATTGAATTACATTATATGAGATGTGATTTTTTTTTCTCTCTCTTGCTCTTTACGTATCATTTTTACAGTCTTACTTCAGATATGGATACAGTAGCATCAATCTAAGAGCTGCAATATTGGCATCCTTATTTATTTTAGAAAGGACATAGCTATAGTGGTATAAGCATCTTTATATAAGCATGACTGCATTTCATCAAGTATGTCCTTTTCCAGATTGAGCTTGAACAGCTGGGGCTCCAGCCATCCAGCTGTTTATGGTTGCCCAGCAGGTGGAGGTTACTTGTTTCACGGTTCAGCCAACAGAAGAGAAATGCAAGTTCTGACTACTCTGCTACAGTAGAGTTAGCAATCGCTTCAAAGCGTTTAATCAGCAATTAAGTTAAATTTGCTAGTTTTATACTTAAGGGGATCAGTTTGAGTTCTACTGGCTGTACACTGAAGAAGTATCCTCTAGTATGAATATAGCACCAGTCATCCAGGGATCATAGATCTTGAATTTCCATCAGTTTGCAAAATGATCCTGTCTTTAAGTACTAAGCAGGTTTCATTGTTTTACCTATAAGAGTACAGCTGAACCCCTAAGATGCTATTTTTATATGCTTATATTATATTGAGTATTGAATCATTTGATTTTCTTGTTTTAGCCAGACTTATACCATGGCTCTTTTCCCATTTATATTAAAAAAAAAAAAAAACAAAAAACCCAAAAGAACATTTCAAAATTCTTCCCTTCTCACCAGCAACACGCTCTTGGGTAGTGATGAGCAACTGCTAATGCAAAAAAAAAAAAATCTTTCTTCCTATAGAGTACTTGCTTATTGGCTTTAATCGCTGGGAAAAGCGAAAATAGTTGATTCAGCACATAGAAATGACACAGTATTTTTCAATTTTATAGTATATACAAATAAGTAATAGATTGCTTTACCAAAAGCTGCATATATCTTTGGAGATAACTTTTCTTAGCTGGCGTAATTCAAGGTCTGCTAGCTTCACCTCCATAGAAAAGGAATACTTATGGTCTGCTGTGTACCTTGCATTTCATCCAACCAAGGGGACAGCGTGTGCAGTTCACCAGCAGAGTCCACAGCTAAATGCCTAGGTGAAGCCTGCCTAGGAGTCCCCAGCCTAGCTGCTGTCTGAGATCTTTGGGAGAGCTGTGGACAGTGGAAATTTTATTGGGAACAATCATTATCTGAACTTTCCTTAAGGCCCCTGAAATTCCATCCCTTGATGCTGGATGGGAGCACTTCAGAAAAGCAAAAGAAATACACTGTAAAGTAAGACAGCGCCTTTTCATGAGACAAGTCTTCAGAGATCCAAGGACATCATGATTAAGGAGTAATCTTAAATCAGATTAATGTATAATCACGTTAATGTAAAAGCTACATTTATCTCTATTATTTTACTCTAAACTTCTTATTGCCCAGAATCTCCAGGTGACTTCAGTCACGCTTCTGCTTGCCAGCACCACAAACCTTGCACATACTTTGGCTATTGGCTATGAAAAAAACATTTATCTTCATGAAATATACACTTCTGCATTATTATTTGACAATAATAGAATGAAGGTTTTTTTGATTTTTAAAAATCTAGCAGTCGTTTCTGTTTTCATATACCTGTAAAAGTTTGCTCTTCTGTATTTGTTGTGAATTCCTTTTCACTTCACCGTTAGTGTTCTTGCGCTCTCTATTTTTAGATTTTAGACTAGCTACTGTGTTCTTCTTTATACTTTGTTCTGGAAAAGGTTCTTTTTCAAATGAAACATATATATTTTATTGCTTATAGGATGGAATGGGAAATTTGAGAGTCACTAAAAAAGGAATACGACTTGAAGGAGTATCTGAATTTCTACTTCCACTATATGTGAAAGAAATCCATTCCAGAAAGGTATGTTTTGCATCTTTTTTTCTTAACTTAATTTACAGTCAATATAAATGAATTTCTTCTGTCTCAAATTACAAGTTTCATTCTTACACCTCCTAAACTGCCAATCAGTAGAGGTTTACTTTGAGATATGTTAAAAGAGAAAGCTGCTTTCATGTCAAAAATGAGTTTTTCTGAAGCTGCTTCCCTCCTGAAAGAAATTTCTTACACTTAAGAAAGGAGCCTCAAAACATGTACATTTTATACTTCAAATGACCTCAGCACTGGAAAAGGAACATTTGACTCTTCACTTGATGTGAACTCTAGAAATCCAAGATTGATACATGCACAAAATGCAGTGATACAAATGAATGATTTTATATATGCTTAAGTAGATCAACTTGAGTCCTTTCTGGTTTTAGCTAGTGTGATTTTTTTTTTCATTAGATAAAAGCAATCTTGTTAAACTGCATAATGTGTCTAGAGATGGAATTTTTCAAAGCAAACCATTTGTAATATTGCTTAAATGTAATTGTTTTATCATTTAGCAGCAGATTGTTATAGAGAGGAAAAAGTAAATCAAGATATTATGTATTTAGATGTTCAATATTACTCATTTTGACTCAGTCATGCTGGTTTGTATAATAACATAAATCTATTAAAAATTGTTTTGCAGTATTTGAAATCTATTAAGTACTTGCTAGCATACAAGTGTTAACCTATGATCAGAGAGGAATGTTATAATGTTTTTCAGTCAATCAAGTGCAAAGGATTTTAATAATACAAAAATTGACATGAGTGAAGGACATGTTTATACCCTAAATGCTTTTGTGGAAAATTCTTCTTTCTTTACAAACTGTTAAAATTTCTTTTGTGCATAAAAATATGTCTCAAATACATTCATAAATGATATCATTAGTTTCCAATTTCTCTTAATTATTTTACTCTTAATTATGTTAATAGATGTGTGAGATGAACAGCTAGTCTCTTTGTCTTCTTTTTCTGTAAAACTAAGCTCTTTCAGTGTTTAACAGAGTTGCAGTATTGGCCTAGGTAATGAAAGTATTCTATAATAGTTAATTAACAGTGTATCCATCAATAATGTCCAATATTTATTAACACCTTAGCTTTGATATTATCAGAATGTGGCAAAACAAAAAAATCAATACATAAATTTATAAATGACTAATTATGTACTAAAAACTTCTGCCAAGAATAGATCAGTATGACCAAATTCTGCTTTCTAAAATTGGAAAGGCATCTACAGAGGAAATTTGGCCATGGTTTTTATCCTGGACTTCTGTGCCATGGAGAGACTGAGTACTTCTAAAATAATTTCTATGCTCTTCCAATATTTCCTTCAAGGTTTTGAAACTGTAGAATTTATCATATTAACCAACGTACTTTCAGTTTTTCCACCTATTTCTGATCTTAATATCAAATATAAAAAAAATTCTTTAAAATCATACCTAAAGCATGAACTTGTCCGATATAAATATTTCGATATGTGGAGGTTATGAAAGCTATGTAAAATTCCCAGGCTGTATAACCTGTATACCCACCCTTCAGGGAGCATACTTTTTTCCCCAGAAATTACAGAATTTATGATATGTTCATTTTTTTTCAGTTCCTTCTCACAGGTGAATGGTATCTATTATTATAGCAGTTCCAGTTACTGTACATGACAGTTACAATTTGGGATATTTGCTTGCAGAGAGCTTTATACTGCAGAACACTGGTTCTATTAAAGCCAATGTGCAAACTTCTGTTTCAAGTGAGATTAATGAAACGTTACAGTAGGGCCATAATTTCACTCAGAGCTACTAGCCAGCCTGAGGAAAAAAATGCATGCGAATGTAAGTGCTGTAAAGGAACAGGATGCAAAATCCAACAGCCTAACATAAGGAAAAAACCCAAAAAAGACACGTCTATCAATAAGTGCCCTCATACCAATAGAAGAAAGCTGGTAGAACAGATCATTAGCTGGACATAGTATTTCAACTTAAATATTACTTTCTATGTTGTAGATCTATTCAGGTCTGTTAACATTAGAACACTTGTTATCTAGCTTAAAAAAGTATTATGTATGTAGAGTTGGTTATCATCTTGCAGAGCCTGTGAATCCTGTGCACATCCCAACCCTTCACCAACTTGCTCAGTAGTTGTTGTGCTAACGTTCTAGTAACATGTGGCATGTGCAAAAGTGAATGGCATGGGAGAACACAGGGGAAAAACACTCTGGAGATGTGCTTAGCTTTAAAGTAGGTGTTCGAGATGTCTCTGCGTGTGGCATGTGCGTATGGCATTAGCTGCTGTGTCACTTAGGGAACTGAACTCAGTGCTGGAGAAAGCTTAAGTGTGCTTTAAGTTTCTGAGCACTCACTATGGCCAGTAGAGAACTAGTACAATACAGGCAGTGAATTCAGAAGAGCTCTTCTGCTTACCAGCTCTCAGTGTCTCTTTTGGGTGATGCAGGAGCAAGAGCGCTTTTCCCTCCTTTTCCATATGAGCAGTGATAATTTAAATATGCTGCGTAACGGAGTTAAAATGTACCAGGGAATCAAAAATTCATTTGAAACTGATATCTTTACAGTCTTTTACATGCATATGTTGCTTATTTATTTCCTTTATGTCCTGGTATGAGAATTTGCTCTTTAAGCAAATTTGCTCATTTCCCTTTTAGAAAAGGAAACGTTGAAATGACATTTAATTAACACTTGAGACAAGCTGTAACAGATTCAATAATATTTTTGTGGAACTGCTGTGTTTGCTGTGCACTAGCAACCTGCAGCATAGAATGACCATGGGAGGACCTGTGGGTACAGCTCTCAGCCCTGCAGCTCAGGGCTTCACTGCTGCCCCATTATTCAGTGCAAAGCAGAGAGAGGTGGGATGGCCTGTGCTGTTGTCAGCAGCATGAGGAGGTAGGTGTACTATATTGCGACTAAGTGGTGGTGCAGTTTTTATGCACATACTGGAGCTATCTTTTAATTAGCTAGATTTGGAGCTGATAAAATGTGTTTCCTGATAGCACAGGATTCAGCTCTGATTCTGATGGTGAACTAGTGTGGATAAGGCTCCTGGGCGGTCTGTGGGGCAGCTAGCCTGAGCAGAGCCGCATAATGTTAAGGGTAGCTCAGTTTATGCATGTAAAATTCACATATATTTTCACATGCTGAAATTGCCCCTGTGATCTGCACCCGACCTTTATCCCCAGATAAAATCATTTATGCAGGGGTGAATGCAGACCTGAAGCTGCTTTTAACAGAGGAGATGGTTTTGAGCTTTTTACATAGGCTGAAAAAGGACCTTTGTCTTGCGGTTGCTTCATTAAAATGAATGACATCATTCATTATTTCATTTCATTCAATTTCATTCAATTTCCATCTTCATAAATGAAGATACAAAATCCTGAATATTATAAGTAAGTGCTAAAATACTTTGAGTTCAACCGACTAACTTGGAAAATGGATATCCGAATTCTTTAAAACAAAACAAAACAGAAAGTTAAATGATATTTTTCCTTTAGCACGGAAAAGTAGTAAAATTATAAAGAAACATTAGAAAATTTAACATCTTCGATAAACAGAACATTCATTCATGTTTTGGCTGTAGAAGTTGCATAAATTAGATAGCTGCTCACTCGGGGGTGCAGTTTCCCTAACTTCTGTCATCTTACTTTGCCTTTTCTGCTGTATTCTGCCGGTATGAGTTGTGCCGACACAGATAGCTGAAAAAAGTAAAAATTCCATGAAACAAGACTAAAATATCCTACCTAAAACTTTTTGCTTTCACAAAAAATACATTTTTATGTAGTTTCATCAAATGAATTAACTGCATATCAAAAACAGTTATTTTAAAATCCCGTTTTAAAATGTTATTTTAAAACGTTCAGGCCTGAAATATGTTCATAATCAGTTGTAAAGTCCTGTGGAGATTTCATTTTTGTTGGTTTTGGGGTTGGGAGGGGAGAAACTCCCTCCCTTCTCTTCCCCCAGCATATTCTTCTAAAAACTTAACGCCAAATTGTTTGCTATATACAGCCTAATCTCTGCTCCATTAAATGCTCCATTGCAATACAGTAAAACTGGCATAAGAGTCCTGCGATCTTACAACTGCTGATGGATGAAGGTACCAGGAGATGTAGTCATTTTCTACCTTTTTAGTACTATGAAAGAATCATAAAGACACCTAAGAATCTGCCCCCTATATTGCTCAGTATAAAGTACAGTGCTTGTTTCTGCAGCTGCATGTCACATTCATCTCTGGTAAAGCATAAAAGGCTCCCCAAATCTTTTTTCTGGTATCTACTCTTCAGATTTGCCTTTGGGCAACTCAACTGTCAATGAGAATAAAGTCATTACTATGGCGTAAAGGGCTCCCTAAGTCACTGTGGTTCTCAACATAGTGTAGTTCCAACGCACTGAAAGCTCAATGTCAGTTTTTTGGCTATGAACATGATATAAGGTATTCTTAATCACAAGTTTTGCCAAGGGATAAGTCACTCATTTTTTGGTGGTCTCTTTGGGGACTGCCATTGTGAAATTGAGTTGGCTGTACTCCACTCTTTGCTGACATCTGATAAGACCTTCATGAATCATGACTTTGCCCTTGATTTGCTGTACTTCACTGAAATTTGTCTGGAGGGTCACCCAATTGTACAACTCTCTTTTGAACATATAATTTTTTTATGTCACCCTAGTACAACGATTATGATTACGGTGATTTGTTTTTCATCCAATAAGAACATCTACTTCTCATGACGAAAAACCTGAGTTAATATTACCCAAGCTTTTATTTCTGTTGATTACAGTTCATGAACAAAGTCATGAGCGGCCTAAATTCACCCAATTTTTATACCAGCCTGAAGAACTGATTTTGATTTGGAAACGTTTCTTTAGAATTAATGAAGTAGTGACTGTTTCTCTAGGCATTTCATTTTTGTTTTGCTATCAAATGTATCAGTTTTAAAATACTTCCTTGATAGTGATGTATCTGTGTTCCACTAGGACAAATTTCAATGG